GATTGTTACAGTTATGATACAATGATCCGAGCGACGGGGCGATACTTCTGCACGTTTCTGCAGTCTGTGGACAGTATCCACCAGCGCATGCGCTTTACTTTCCCGCGCATGCGTTCACCCAGCATGCAGCTGACACGCGCGCATATCCACGGGGCTGAGCTAGTATATAGCAGCGGCAGGACTGGATACACACATTATCTTATGGGTAACATGAACTTGACTATTATTTACTGCGCACTTAGAGATCTTAAATAGTTATGTCATAATTTTATATGGTCAACACTCTCTTAATGTATATTTCTCGTACTAAATCTTGACTAAGGGCTTTACTTAGTGACTGCCCAAGGCCGACCGCTGTAAATTTTATCAACTACTTGAAGCATTATTTAAATATATGTATATTTTTGGTCATAGGCGAACTTTTTTATTCGATTCTACTCAGATCCTTTGATTATAAAATAATTATTTTGATTGATGAACTTAGCTGTGAGTCGGCAAACAATTATTTAAATTCAAATAACTAACAAAACTATGTAAAGGTCAATTGTACGAGATAGCTGAAGATATCTTCTCGTTGAAGCTGAAAGTGACCATCATGAAGGAGAGTATGGAAGGAAACTACTATGTAGCGGTACTGAGACTGGAATTTGATAACAGTGACTATGTGAGTATTTACAATATTAACTATTTGAAGAATTTGTCAGTTCATACCCTGCCGCAGGACTTGCAGCCAAACCTAAGGGGTAACTAATCCGTAGTCAAACACGCTGGATTATCGCCGATTTGTTGACATGACACATCTGTTTTTAATTTGTGACTGAGTAGTCACTGTTTGCCTTGAGGAGGCATTTACAGCTTCACCGGGCTTGAGGTGGCCGAGCGCAGATGGCGCTTAGCCTGAACCTCGTTTATGAGTAACAAGACTTGAGGGCTCCCTCAGGAGCCTCGGCTCGGGCTGTTACTTCATTAAATTACTGCAAATATGTGCAGATTACATCAAGATGTTTTCTTTCACCGTGGGCTGGAGTGGCTGGAGGCTGGAATAATTTAAGCCTTACATCGAGAGTTTCACATTATTTAAAAAATAAAAATTT